TTCACAAAAATCGACATACATGTGGAGGAATCAATTTAAAGAAACCAATTCCAGCCAATTTGTTGTCTCTCCCACAGATATTCAAATAATGTGGCTTAATTTTCGCATTTTAATGTGACTTAATTTTCGCTCCCAGCGCCCATGCGGACTGAAATTGTGAAACTGTTTCTGCAATAACTTCCCTCTAGCTAAGATGTAAGCTTCATACTGGTGTCATTTTAATTGTGAGATTGCCGTCTTTAAATCGATTCTAGGCACTGTTCTCCTAAGCTGAAGTAAGAAGTTTCACTTGATCAAACAGTTTGATCAAGTTCAGCACCCAATATCGACACTTGCCACCTCGGGAATTCGTTGTTTCAATATTTCATTAAAAAGTGCCTGCTACGCTCTTTCCAGCGATACCAAATTCAAGGTTGGCACTCAATTGCTTCCTGAGATACAACGGTTTGACGGCGTCGATTGTGCATTTATAGTTGCACCTGGGTGCAATGAGGATGTAGCCCAATGTTATGCAGCTATATGCGTGAAATTTTTACTGGTTTTTAATTTAAAGACGGCAATCTCACCTTTAAAACGACACCAGAATGAAGCTTACATCTTAACTAGAGGGGAAATTATTGAAGAAAACGTTTCACAATTCCAGTCCGTTTGGGCGCTGGGAGCGAAAATTAGGTCACATTAAAATGCATATATCTGGAGATCCGTGGTAGAGATAAAAAAAATTGGTTGAAATTGGTTTCTTTAAATCGATTTCTCTACGTGAATGTCGATTTTTGCAAAAATCCAAGATGGCCGAGCTCACTCGTTGATCGATTTGGCGTGGAATGACCCAAGGTTATCAGTTATATTTTATCAAACTATTAACTATGATGAATGGAAACGTGCATACGTGGTATTTTATGATGAAGTGAGGAGGTGGCGATGGTGGAGGTCCACTACAGCACGCTCTCGGAACGCGTTATCTCTCATTCGGCTTTCTCTCTCATCGACCTCATCAGTGAGTGAACGAGAAGGTTTCTGCGTCATCCACCTCGACGAGGTGCTGAAGGCATTTCTCACGCCTAGGCGCGGCGGGGGGCATCCTCGGTCTCATCATCGGAGGCAGCGTCCTCACCGTCATCCAACTCGTCATCTTCCTCCTGTGGCTCGCTCGGCGGTTTGCGGCCGCGGCGGTGCCTCCTGTGCCAGCGTGTGAGGCGCAGATCTGCGAGAACGCGAAGAAGCGGGTCGTGGAAGGCTTCGCCGCGAGGGACTGCCTCTTCCCCTGAACCGATGCTTGGGGATTCCCTTTGGCAGGCGTTGTGACTAGGCTGAATAAAGAGACGGTAGCGTTTCGGTTTTTTTTTTTCATTCCGGGATCTATGAGATTAACATTTTCATTCATGCATCTTGCTTTAGTAATCCCAAGGCCGAGCGAGGGGATTTCCCATCCTTTTTTTTTCCTGGAAGTTGACCCACATCTGTTGCACGGTCTATGGGAAGAGGGAAGTAGTTTAAAAACGTCGAGCCCCAGATGAATCTCGCGATTGAATCACCGAACGAATTTAGGCATTTACAAGTTTAAAAAAAAAAGTATATTCAATGATTATTCTGCAGCTTATAAGAAGTGCTCGCAAAGGTTGCTCAAAATATCCTGTGAGTCTTCGATCCTTGATGAGTTCCTTTCCAAGGAGTTCCATCGTTTCTTCTGTGCATCTCCTGATACTTCTCCCAGTGATGATTCTAAGCGCATCCGCAATTTTTTTTTTTTCGGCGTGGGCGTTCCCGCAGCCTTTCTAGGCTGGAGCAAGAAAGCCAATCTCTTCCGACGCTGTTGAGTCGTGCGAATTCGCCAAAAAATAAAACTGCAATGCTCCTTCCCCACATGAAAGAAGCTGTACCCTTAAGAAAAAAACTGCTTTAAGCATTAGTTTTATGCATTATGAAATGTATCGTAACACTTGGCGGGGATTAATTAAAGTTAATCGTTACTTCTGCAAGTCCTCCATAAAGGCTCATTAGCCCTGCAGTTCCTTCTTTGCCGTCGTTTTCATAAAAGTATACCGTTATTGTCGTTATTTATTGATTATTGATACCCCATGATGCCAAAAAAAGGCAAAAAAAATGGCATACTTTCACTTCGCATCTGAGCACGTTCCTAACCCGATGCTCGAAACGCGCCGTGTCCAGAGCTACGCCGTCAGCGTCCTCTGAAAAGTGGCTGGACGTCGGGAATGGGCAAGAGCTCCTTTGCACCGTCCGTCCTGGTCGTCCTTCCGTTTGAATTCGTTGGTGGGAATGGCTGTCTTTGCAGATGGTTTTCAAGAGCTTAGATGCCGCAATGAGTGTCAATCCAGTTTTCTCCAAGTGAATTCGGAATTTCCCTGTTTTTTTTTTGTCGTTGATGGAACTGTCGTCCATTTCAAGCGTCACGCTTCTCAGAGATATAATATTGTTCATAAGTTTCATCCGAATTCATACATTGGCAATTGGCTCCAGGCTCTCCAATGGATCAGCGGCCCACCATCCCCCTCGCAACTGCGATGCAAGCCATCTGCTGAAGAGCATCCAGGAAAGGCGGAGCTCCAAGCAAAAAAAAATTTTTACTTGCGAGAAAGATGACGAGTCCCAGTTCTTCTCTCATCCATCAAAAACTGTGCGTTTATGCTTCGGCTTTCCATCAGTTTTTGAAGCATGCAAGGGAACAATGGGAATGAATCAACAGTGTAACGGTTAGCCTTTTTTTTTTTTTTTTTTACTCTGCCCTTTGCAATGCAGACGGGAACCGACGTGGGTGGAATAATGTGTGGGTGGCAGATAAGCATCTCCAGGGGGGAAAGGGGGAAGTCAAGGTCGAGTCGTCGAGCCGGGGGCGGAGCTTCCAGGGTATAAAAGGACTCAGGGAATCGCATTCTGGAAGACAGTCTTGGCGACCTCCTCCGCCGTCGCACTCTCTCGGATCTCCCTCATCCTGTAAGTTGAGACTACTTTCCCTCTGTTGCTATGGGTATTGATCAGCATTGATGTTTCGTTGTACCTTAGTGTTCAGAATGTTGGGAGTGGGATTGCCCCTTGTCCCTGGAAGCGCCTCAGTCAGGAAACCTTATGCTTCACAGTTATCATCCCCATTGCCATATTAGAGAACAGGTCACCAACCGATTTCCACTAGTTAAGGAAAGCCAAGAGAGCTTGGTCCCCCTTCCTCCTCCCCACTCTTTCCTCACCACCATCGCCCATCTCTGGGGGGGCAGAAGTGATGGTCTCAGCCACCAGCGCCATCTGCAGCCAGGGAGGAACAACCAGCTCCCAATCTCCAGCACCATCTCGGGAGGGGGCTTGAAAACTAACCCCCGCTCAGCGCCATCTTTGGCAATCTAGGTAAGATTCGAATCCCTCATTTCTCGCATAATCTCAATCCAGTCCCTGGGCTGCATTCAGCCCCCGGATTGCCAGCTGCTGCTTCTGTAAGACTACAAGCTGGACGGATCCCCAAAAGCTTAATGGATAAAATAGCTGGCGAATAGTTTAGACGTTAGCTCTACACTTCCTTTTACTGGGATTCCCGCGGTTTGGACGCACCCAAGACCCGCATTCAATATCATGGCCTTTGCAGGTTAACCAAATATATGGTAATCCTATTTTTCATTAAAATCTTCCTGGTTTTCACGTTGGGCTACACGGCATCCCACTCATCTCTCCTGAAGTAATGGCGTTGGGGCGCTGCAAGTGGCACGAGGGGAATCTGTTTCAACGCCTCCCAAGCTTTACCCGGGGGTGCCACCATATGCATAATTTGCATATTACTCTATGATCTCTATCATACCCATACGCCGCTGGATAATCGTTTCTAGACCGATATGCATCATGGAGACGACAGGAGGCTAAAGGGGGCAAATATTAAAGTACCACAGCTCAAATGTACTGTGTATGCTACTTTGTATTCATGATATGGGGATACGGTTGGTGCTGCCATTGGCATCTCCTGTCACACGTGGCACAATGGCACATCTTACTACTCGTAGATATGGTCGATTTATGTGCGATACTTCCTTTATTTTTCCTAAAAGGAGAGGTGGGAAGATTCACTAGATGTTTTGGTATTACATTACCTGTGATACTATTGGAACTTAAGAGGTTGACGATTCGGGATTCGATGTGACGGCTGCCTTTTTTTTTCCAGTGACACTGGTGATGCAGTCGAGAATCCCCTCTGGGAAGGGGAGAGGGACGATATGGGGTTCTTCAGCAGGGTGCGGTGCTTCAGGGCTTGAGGAATCGCGTTTGGAGGTCGTGGGATTTTTTTTTCGGAGTTCCTGGTTGGGGCTTTCTTTCCGCACGATTGTTGCTGAATCGTTCATCGAGCACTCCTGAAAATTTTTGTTTTCCCGATGAATTCAGTTTAAAAAGGAAATGAGGAAAACAGCTGTTAGCGGAATCCCTGGTCATGATTACGGATACGTTTAATAACAAAATGAAAAGAGTGCACCTTTCAAGTCAACCTTAATTGTGGACGAAACTAATTGCTCTAATTTTAGAACCTTTTTTAGAATCTACAGTTGGAAAAAGACAAGAACCACAGCTGTATTATCAGTACCCAAAAAGTCCTTTCTCCGATAATCTAGGAAAATGGGGAAACGGAACGGATTTTTTTTAGCGAGAATAGTTGGCGGAACTATTCAATCGGGAATCATGCGACATTAAATTACCCAAAAACTCGAGTAGAGTAACTTCAGTTCGGGGGAAAATTCACCGCTGAAACCCTCTGTAGTACTCGAAACCAACTTGCGAGGAAAGGACGAGGACGAAGATTCCCCCTCGAGGAATCCACGTCCAGAATGACGTTTATTCGGCTGGGGCTTTTGCATTTCATCGTACGGTTGTGCGTAAATTTCCGGATTTTCGGCAGATCTGGAACCGAGCGATTGATGCCTGCTCCTTGCCAACAAGAATGGCATGCAATTCCTCCGCGATGGATCGCATGGTGAAACCGTGAGGCCAGCCTTTCATTCCACGAACGCAAGATGGAGATGCGACGAGGGAATAAAGAGGTTTCAAGACGACATGCGTCCGCCCAAGCCCGAAAAGGTCAGCGTTGCACCATCGGCTGTCGGTTGCGATCCCTCGCCGATTTCCGAGCAGCGACAGACGCTTCAGACCTCGCTCGTCGGTGCCTAGATGGAAGTGAATCCAGCGCAGATACGCTGAGAGGATCATCCGAGGATGTTGCGGAAGAAGTCCTGGATGCAGCCGCCCCCCTGGACCATCGAGCCCACAGCCCCCAACGAGTACGTCCCCACACGAGAAGCTTCCGTCTCTTGCGAGAATCCCAGTTCCAACCCTCCCGCCTTACCACCTCCTCTTCAGAACTAAAGACCCTATTTTCCCTCCGGGAAACCCGACAGTATGAGTCCAGCACTCTGAGGCGGGTCGGTCTTCTCGCCCTACCAATTCCCGTTTTCCAGCTTACGCGACTTACCTCAATGCGTAAACTTGCCCGGTTTGGCCAAATGAGTTATCACTGGACTCATTTCCCCCTGGGATCTAAATTTTGAAGTTCTAATTGCCGAACCCCTTCATAAAATCACGAATTAACGGGTAGGCTAATGAATTGTACGAGCGTGAAGTAGCGAACGAATCTTAGCTAGGAGTACGTAAATGGCCACTCATCTAGACACAAGCATTCGCAAATGCCTTAAAGCATTTTGACACACAGACGTGTCACCCGCGCCTTAACAAGCACCGAAAGTGAAGATAAGAAAAACTGATTTGGGGATTGGGAGTGACTTGACTCACTTGAGGTTCCAATGATTTCGCTTTTCTTTTGTTCGCCTGCATTTTAAAATAGATTAGAGCTGAGGGGAATTTTGTGTGGTTTTCATGCAAGTCCATTGAAGACTGGTCCCGGAGGAGTGCACATTTTTCCTGATCCTTTTAGCAAGTTTAGAACTGGTTATTAATTTGTATCTTTTCCAATTTGAATTTTTTTAAGCTTAAAAAGCTTAAAAGCTTTAGCTTTTTAAAGTACTGCCCTGCAGGGTACTCTGATATAGTTCACGACCGGATGTCTAAGCTTATCAAGTACCGAAGAGGAACAAAGTCCCCCAAAATTAATTCGAAGGAGGCGCGGACGGCAAAGACAACAGAACGCGCGATTTCCTCGATTCACGTGTTATCAGAATGTCTCTCAGGAATTTGAAGCTTCAAATGTGTCTCTCTGCCGGAAGCGGCAGGCGTCTTGAAAGTCGGCTTGCAGAGCTAATGTAAGTACTTGGCAGAGTCTGGCAGTTTTTGTTCAACTTTGTCCGATTTTGATAGTGGCATTTGCAAAAATCTCGAACGACAGGAAGTTGTCCTTTCCATCAAGGGCAACTCGCAGCAGATGCTCGAAGGATTGAGGGGTCTCCCCCCCCCCCCTAACCAAGAGATAAGCAAAGGAGACACCACCTGTCAAGGAAAGTGACAGGGGAGACACGTAATGGGAGTCATGAAGTCAACGATAAAAAAAGGGAACATGCCCTCGTGCATCCATCAGAGAAGGAATATTTGTCATTCTAATTTTTAATTTTAATAACTCTCCACTTGAAATTCTAATATCATCTCGGCAATTCCGAGCTTTGGGTCGCACAAGGCAACATTGCGATGGCCATAGGACCAACGTGTCATATATGATGTCATTCCCGTCAGAGCTGGGGAGCCAGCAAAGCGTCAAATTTGACCTCATACCATCGAGTTAAGTCACAATTTCTCACATCCCAGTTTCATTCCATAAAAAAAAAATCTTTTGTGCTAATGGGGTTTATTTAACCTGTATGTTCACCACAAACCGAAAGGGTTTCCAACTTTGCTGCATTTTGAGGTCAGACTTGAAGGCAGGTGCGACGACTGCGACCTCCCAATACAATTCTAAGTTTCCAAGGGCCGAACAGATAAGAAGACACGGGGCAAATGCCTCTTCATGACTTTCTGATTTCCGTCCGTGTGAACCCGTGGCCTTTCCATGCTGAAGCGACCAGAGGCCGCTTTTCGATAAATTTCATCACGGTTATTCGTGATTCATGAAGCTTTTTTGCTTTCATAACTGGAGTTCCTATCGTAATAATTCGTTACTCGCTACAAATTTGATGGAATTCTGTTGCTTCAAACGTCTAGTCGAGCTGGATATTGATCTAGTTTAAATTCCATTTTGGGAAATACAGGCTGTTCGAGAAGTCCCTGTGCAGTAGAATTCACGACATGACGTAGGTCTCTCAGTAGCTAAGAATTAGATAATAAATTATGTGAATCGGGATGGTGCTAATATTTGAAGTATTGAGTAGAAATTCGTGTCTTTGATGATGTAATACATGAGATACGCAGTAGATAAATAAATGCATGCAAAAGAATAAATGAATTCTACTGCAGTGACTTTTCGAACACCCTGTAACCCTTAAACTTCCGTTTCAGAAATATTTCCCCAGGATTGCATTCCATTGCAGTTCATGACACGCTATTTATTTATATATTTTTCGAAATTACCGAATGCCTTTGGATCCAATTTTGACATTTTCTTCATTTTCAAGGACACACTTGTCGAAGTCGAAGCACCCCAGCATCTGAGGAAGTGCTGGAGAGATTCTGCGACTGGCACGACATGCACGGCCTGTACTTCCTGAGGAACAGGGAATCCCTGGGCGTCGCCAGGTGGCTCACGTGGGTGGCGGTGGAGGTCAGCCTCATCGCCTGCTGCTTATACGGCTGCTACTCGCCCATCATGAATCTGGTGAACGGGAAGCACTCCGTGTCGATAGATATGGATGGAGCTCTGTTGAAGCGCAGGGTCCTGCCGGATCTCATCTGTCCGACCAATCCCCTGCGGGAAGATGCCATTATTGGTACTGTACTCGTATAATTCGTGAAAGTGTGTAAATTGCGACGAGATACTATACGTTCTAATGGAAAGTTTACGAAAAAGCACTCTCTCTGTGCTATTACTTTGAAAGACGTCGGTCTCATATGAGAAAAACTTCCAGATGCCTTAATGTAAAGAACCAAAAGCTATATTACGTCCACTGGCGTCAGGGGTGCCATTATATGAATCGTACAAAGGAGATTACCGCTAGCTTGATCCAATCGCTGCACAAGGCACTCACTCACCCGCAGCGCAGCCGCCTCGTCGTCGCAGCGGTTGGTACCAGGTCTACAATAAAACCTTCCTTGCACGTCCACCAGCATTCACTTGGGTGAACGACGAAGTGTACAGGAGGTGGATTAGAACCAGGTGAATGTCCTACCTGGTGGAAATCCACCCGGTTATTTGCTCTAGCGTAAATCGTGCCTGGTGGGTTTATTTGGAATAGCATGAATCCCTCCAATAGGTGGATTTCCACCGAAAAGAACATTCGCTTTTTTTCACATCCACCGGTTACGTTTTGTAAGAGCTGGCATATTGCCTCCGATAAAATTTGACTCTCTCATGGCTGGTAATTCATGGCTGCTGGTAACCTTCTCATTTTCCATCAGCAGCCTTGGGAGTGAAACAAGAGATTTTGGAGTATGCGATGGGCGCTTTGTATCGCGGGGGCCTCTTGTCCCAGAACCTCCGATCCGATGAGGTCCGCCGCGATCGGCTGGAAGCAGAACTCCATGAGATCCTTCGCAGCAATCACACCACTATACCGCACTTATTGATTTCAGGTTCTCTCAGGTATCCCTAGCCGAATTTCTTGTCGGAGATTGCATCCTTCATGTGTTCCAAAGGTTCTCTAGGAGATCACTGTCCATGGACATCTTACGCATAAAATATTATCAGGATCGGTTCCGCTAATGAAATTTGGCGAATGTATCGAACTAGCAAGCAAATGCCACCTGTCTCTTGCCTCAATCAAGACAAAATCCTTCAGGTGTGAAGACATGGTGATATCTTGCGAGCTGGGCGGCGAGTCGAGAGTGGTGGATTCGGACCAGTGCTGTTCGGAGATCTTCTTGTCTCGACCGTTGACCTCGATGGGCCCCTGCATCTCGACCCACGGATACACCCGCTATCAGAACTACCCCGGGGCTTCCATGGGACTCAGCGTCATGCTGAGGGTCTTCAACTCCACCTGTGCGTTCATTCTCTGGTACAGCTTCTTTGGCATAAGTCATGGGTAATAAAGTCAACATGGAGCGTTCTATAGACTCCCTAAAGGAGATATACTCGGCATTGGGTGGTTCGAATTTTCATTGTTATTGTTTCGATGAGATTGAGAAAAACTTGGCTCCTAGTGTAACATTGAGATGAACAGAAATCGTTTCGTACATTGATGGAGCCTTCAGCCTACTTTGAAACTTTTTGGAGAACTTCACAGTTTGTCAGCTCCACGCTAAGGGATCCTGTCAAAAGAGGGAGATGGGATCGTATGCGAAGGATTCAAGCCAGTGTGGTTGCTATAGGGCCAGCAGATTAAGGATGCTGAGAGGAGAGGATGTGGTAGTTTCCAGTGTAGACTTTGATGGGCATCCTCAATGGACCGAGGGGAGTAGATGGGGAATGGCAACCTAGGGATGTGGCTGTCGCGTGCATTCGTGTGAAATTAAGCACAAAAAAATAAAGCAGAGAGATAGCACTTGCGTCTACAGAACGACGTGATATCCACGACTGTGCATTTGTTGCTAATGTCAAAGGGTCATAGTGGCCCGAAACATGTCTCTTCGATAGTCTAATTGCGTGCTTCATTTTAGTGCCAGTCGATTCCGACAGGTTTGTCCAGGTCGATTTTTCGGAATCCGACCCGATATAAGATTGCCAACAGAGCAGTGTTGCTCCTTGAGCCGAAGGCTTACCAAACGAAGATTCGACATATAACAGATGCGAAGAAAAAGCATAAACTACCGCAAAAATTGCTCTTTCTTGTGTGTCTATCAACGCTGTTGTACCCAAATTGCTGAATATGGAACTTTGAAAATATTCACACTGATTCCTTAGTATCCATGCATTAGAAAGCGGGTTGGAACCATGGCTGCCTGCCCGCCGCACACGAGCCAATTTTTGTTATTTAAGATATTCAAGAAAAGCTTTTATTTACATTTTCAAATTTAAATGATTTGATGCATGTCACCCTCTGTCCTTTTTATCATCTTCGTGATGAAGAAAAAAATCTGGCAACACTGACGCATTCCTCTTTGAGACACCCCCGACGACGAGGCGAAGACAATGACAGGCCTTCTACAAAGTCATTTGTCATGACTCTGGAGAACGTCGTCACCCATTGCGTGTGTCCAAATATCCGCCCACTCTCTAATGCCTGGCTAAGCTAACCACCTATTTTTTCTTCTCATGGAACAAAACTTGCTCCGCTTTCCTTATATTTGTGCGAAACTTAGTACTGCAACGGAAGATGGTCGCCTATCGCGTCTTCTGACGTCGTGAACGCCATTGAGCAGACATCAAGTGGTAAAATAAAAATGTACGTGGGCTCGAACAAATCGGTGCACGCGGTCAGGAGTTACAGGCAAAATAATGGGATACAGGATGATCGAGCAGCAGCTCTGCCATCTAGTTTTTCCTCGAACAAGCCAAGTCCTCCAAGAGGGAAGAGAGATGGCGTATGGGTCTTATTGCTCGTTATTGCTCGAACTTGCCAAGGAAGGTCCTGCATGAGCTTCATGAAAATATAAAGTGCTTTCCTCGCAGGTTTGTTTTTTTTCCTCCATAACGGGACAAATTTTAACGGTTGAAAAATGCAAATATCAACTTTTTTCTGGGATTTTTGATACCAAGAAAACTCGAGGCGTAAGCTTGTGCGGTTGTGCGCGTGATTAAAACGTACTATATATAATTTGAAATCTAATTTCTTAAACTCTTGCCCAAACTTCGTCTGGATCTTTATTAGATTTTCACTCTGCTTCCGTGGCGAGTCCAGGAACTGCTTTTATATTTCGTACGCCGATAGGTGCTGACATCTAACGAAAAATAGGCGAAAATGTTGTTAAAAACCCAGGAGTAAGGAAGGTCTTCCTTCATCGTGACGCGGAAATTTAAATCCTCTTTAATTGGATTCCTCGTTCCCTTTCCAGGGCTGGACAGAAGCGTCCTCTCGGGGCTGGCCCAAGCAGACGGATACAAGGCCGTTCTGACGGCCAACTACGAGTCCCCGTCTCTCGCTGCCAAGATGAGGGCCCATGCCATCAACCCGGGCAGGAAGACTCTGCTCGGCCTCCAAGCCGTCAGGGTGAGCATTCTGGGGTGGAGGGATCGACTGGAACGAGTTATCTCGCATTCCGCTTTCTTCGTTGCTGATCTCGTCAGTGAGTGATCACACGTCCAGTGCCATCCACATCAGCGAGGTGCTCTCTCTCCCTCTTGAGCCTTTCTCGCTCCGCATAGGTAGCGCGGTATTCTTGGGTTGCAAGCGGCAGTTCAGTTGCAGTTGAACTGTAGTCCTAATATGGTCCCAGTTTGGTTGTTACTGCAGTCGATTGAACTGAACGGACTGAGATTTTGAAATCATTCTCCAGTTCCTGCTTGACCGCAGTTCAGCTGCAGCAGACTGCAGTTGCTACTCGCTTCAGTTTCTTTTCTGTTCAACTGTAGTCCGATTGTGGTCAAACTTGACCCATATCTAACTTTCTCGTACGTTTTTGAACTGAATGAATTGAAACAGTTCGACCCCAACCCAGATCGATGTCATATTCGAGGTTCAGTTCCTCACTGGGCGTGTGTTTTGCTTACGTCGCCACTTTCGGACTTAATCGCGCGCAGGGTGCTCCATTGCCACCATGTGCGGCAGATGGAGGAGAAGGATAAGAAAAAAGTTGAATCGCATCACGGAGGCTCGGTTCCAACAGCTTGCCGGCGAATTTCACGCCTGGAGACAACATCATTCCAGTTGCGATCGTGTGACAAGCGAGCGAATGGTCGGGACGTTCCTCCGTTACATGTCTGGTGGTGGCTATTATCGGCAGACTGCAAGATCGACAAATGATAACACTGTTTTCGTTTTTCTGTTTAGAGCTAGAGAACAATAGTTTACCTGTGTGCAGCCCTGAGACCTACATGTGGTGCATGAAGGAGTAACTGTTTCTAGACAATTACACTGAAATCATCTATGCCAGAGCAGGTGAACCACTTTTTTTTTTCAAGCAAGCTTTGGAAAAGTGGTTCCAAATGCAATCCAGCTGATGTCTGAGTATCAGCTCAAATCTTTCTCAAGCGTTTCTGGGGCGAATGCCTCCCCTCAACAAAGAAGTTTAGAGCGCGAGGCTTTTTGGCACTGATCCATAGTGCAGATTGCTGGATGCATTCAGCTAGAATCGACTTTGGGAAAGTCTGGTCTCGAGCAGATTTCAGCTGCCTTGATCAAAATCGGTGAACAGGTGGTGAAAGGGTGGATGCATACTGCCTTTCTGAATGCCCCGCCCCACTCATTCCACCTGCTTGACTGATTTGTCTGATATACATTGTTCTGAGGTTGAAAGCAAACCTAACACAGTTCCCAACTTCTGAAACCGGGCCTGCAGCTGGGTGGGAAATACCTATATTTTTTCTTTCTTGCAGAAAAGGAATGTAAACCTCTCTGTACAGAGACCTCGTACGAAGTATTGGTCTCTTACGACCACTTGAGTTCGGCCTATGTGGAGAGTGTGATTCAGCAATTGAGGCACAAACTCACGAAAAGGTAAATATATCGGTTATCACGTCATATGCTAAAAATAAACCGAAATGAAGAGGTTGTGACATACAGTGAGGAGGTGGCGGTGATTGGAGTCCATTACAATATGCTGTCGGAACGAGTCATCTCATATTCCGCTTTCTCCGTTGTTGATCTCATCAGTGAGTCGATCGGACAGCAATGCGTCCAGTCCACCTCCTCGAGGTGCCCCTCTCACAGTTTGCATTTCTCGCTCCGCAGGCAGCACGGGGGGCATCCTCGGTCTCATCATCGGAGGCAGCGTCCTCACCGTCATCCAATTCCTCACCTTATGGCTCGCCCACCGGTTCGCATCCTCAGTGGGGGCGTCGATGTCATGAAGTGCGGGGATGGACCTGGTCTATCCGACTGTGAAGACCGAGGAGGGGCCCTCTCGACTGCCTCCTCGAAAAACGACATGAAATGAGTTTAGTCAGATGTTACGACTTAGTTGAATATATCGACTGCAGCATTGAACTTCTTTCCAGTGACCTGTGAGATTAGCATCCTTTGATGTGCTCACAATTGGTGATCCCAGGACCAAAAAGGAAATTTTCCCATCCCTGAATTCCTATTCAATACAATTCACAGCAGGAACTATAGAAAATTGTTCCTGCCGACAACAAGACAAGGCTGTCACTTCTAAAGAAATATATTTTTGATGCAGCATATTCATGAATTGCTTAGTTACCCGCAATTTCATTTTTTTCTGCTCGCGGCGGTTCCTCTTCGTAAAGCTAACCACGGAAGGGGAAACAATTACCTAATGTATTCCACGCATTCACTGCCCTACAAATAGTCATTCCGCAACCTGAGCCTGATACCGTCCGGATCCGAGTGATTTTCACACTTATACAGGGTGGCAACAAAAATGTTTCATTGACCTAAATTTTCATTATTTGCTTAGGTAGAAAAGTAAGTTACATGTTACAGCGTGTCTCCACACTGGAAGGCGCGAGAGAGGCTCAAAGCGAGAATTCCTGGGGATTCCCACCCTCGCGACCGACGTGTGGCCTCATTTTCCGCAGCTGGTCTCGTATCCATTTCTTTTTACCCTTGCATTAATCGTTTACCCTATTAATTTTACGATTGATCTCCAGAACTTGTACGTGATCCTGCTCTCTCATGTTGTCGAAAAGAAAACAGACAAGATGAATGCGGAAGCGTCGAAGGGATCGCATTGACGCTTGCAGTCGCCGAACGGACGAATGAATATGGAATGGAATCTTGGAATCTGGCATTCAAATGTCGGTGAGCTTTAAAGAAATTCATGAGGCAGTCTTGGTTTTTAAGGAGGATTCGAATCTCGACCCATGAAAATTTTATCACGAAAAAATTTTTGACGATAATAATTTCTTCTCGCTGCAAACATTGTAGACCGAAAATCTCAAATATGGCTCTATGAGATGAGAACGAAGGTTCAACGACGAAAGGGAAAGCGTTTCGATCAATTTGTAAGTAGAGCGATGGGCATCCCCCACCTAAGGCACTCTCCGTTCCGATGAACCGATTTTCTGCGAACCATCGGCATCGACATGCGATCGCCGATTCCTTGTCCCGATGACGATAAACTGATGGAGCTCCGATCCGATGGTGCTCGCTGCAGAGACGCCCGATCGCGACTGCGAGATATACATCCTCCCGAAAGGTCGGAACATCAGGGTCCCAGCGACCCCGAACGGCAGTTTCCCGCTGGCCACCGTGGATGGATCAGTCGCCTCACTACCAGTGGGCCAAAGTGAAGATGGAACCGAGGATGTTGCGGAGGAAGTCATGGATGCAGCCGTCGAGGATGCCCTGGACCATCGAGCCCATCCCCGAGACCCCCAAAGAGTAGGTCTCCGTGATCCCCCTCTAAGAATGGAAGTCGACAGAGATCTAACAACCGTGCCGATCTAAATATCAAGTCTTGGGAATATTTTTTCTATGCGGTCACATTCACTTTTCGGTAGGCAGTCATCAGCTAAGGCAGTAGCCAGAAGCATATTCATTCCCCTAAATTTCCTCTATCCTACCTATTGCCTCTTTCCGTTAACCACCTTAACCAAAAGAAATCAGGTTCAATCGATCATTGCCGTGATCGGAGCAGCCCCATTCCAGACCACGAGGTTCCACTTCTCTCAATTTTTTAAAATGATAAGTGTCATATTGCTGTCACATTCACTGATCAAAATTGTTGGATTTCCTCTACTGGACATTTCCTAGACTAACGCGATATATGATGAAACGATTATCTGTTCAATCACTTCAATAATCACTTATCAAAAAAGAAAAGGTGATACCTGAATAAATATAATATATATAATCCAGTTCCCGTCCAATTGTTGTTGCGTGCTGTCGCAATGAAAAACAGTGCATGCTATGGCATTTCATGATATCACGCCGTGAAGGCAATCGGAGGAACAACAAAATATTACGCGGATTAATGTTACCCGTTTTTTATTTTTGATATTTCTTTAATTAATAACATCAGAAATGAGTCATTTCCATTCATTTTCAAATGAATATCAATGCAGGACTTTCGCAAGTCTGGCGTACTCTCAAAGAAGCCATTTTAAAATAAAGAATTAATGACTAACAGATAGCCTTATTCCAGGAAATAAGCGCAATGCATTATACAAAATGTTTGAGCAGCAAACCACCAAAGTAAAACGTTCAAACGTTCAAAGATCAAACGTATGTCATTAGAGCGATCGTAAGATCTAACTTATAATCATTAGATTAGACGCAAGTTTGCGATTTCGATAAAGTTCCGACCTTCAGTTTGTGATCTTCCAGAAAGAGCTTGTTGAGCATTGATTATGGATACACTGCCTCGACTATGCAGATTGAAGCATCGATTATGCAAACACAAGCATCGATCATGCAGGCACAAAAATCGATCATGCGAGCATTCATCAATTTATACATGCGGACACCAAGCGACTCGCCCCCGTGTTCCACCCCAGTTCAGCCCCTTTGCGTCATTCACCACACTTCCAGTCGCACACCATTCACCACACTCCCAGTCGCACATCATTCACTATCCTTCCCCATGAACTTCCGCGACCTGCGAAGCAGCCGGAAGAATCGAGAAGGCAAGTGTTCCATGAATCGCTACAAAATGAGATTTCAGGGCGGAAGAGTCAAGACAAAAGGCAATAAGGACATTGAAAATACCAGTTTTTTTAGTTGTCCGACAACGAATGAACGAGACAGACACATTTAAGAGATTTGCAGTTTCTACGATTGCGGAAACCTCTAAAAGAGAAAGGTTATGTCCATTGCGAAAATTGGCATGCAGGTAGATTTGAACAAGAAGCAGGCAAAGGTCGATTTTGAACAAGTTCGTTTTTAGCGGAGCAGAGTTTTTAAAGCAAACTTCAAATTTGACATTTGCTCACAGTTTGAAGGACACGGGCAACCATCTTCCTTGAATCTCGACCTCAATGTGTGTGCGCATCACTCAGCTTGGGTTTGAAATGTCATGTCACCATGTCGTGTCATGTCACCAGCCCGTGGCGTACGTTCCCTTCCAGCTCTTTTAGCTGACGGATCTACTTGCTGAACTCGTGCAATGCATAATATCTGGCAGTTCTGCGCGTCGTACTCCTCTCCTTCCTCCAAACCCGCCTGCAACATCTCCAAGAGATATAGTAAGGAGGCGCACTCCGGGCTTGCTCAGTTTGTCGTAATGCTGATGTATCAGATCGCAAATTCAATGGCATCACACAGGGAAAGGGTGAAGATGTTGTCCCCTGACCTCATCTTTACAGCACTTCGAGGGCATTCTCTTTTGAATCATCAATAATGCGTTACTGTTAGGCCCTTGGAAGTCACGTATAAATAATTTTTGCTACTTCGTGGCACCTCTATATTTCGAAATGATTTTCAGGAGTTTTCTTAATACCCACAGACAGCACAAGGATGAGAAGCCTGTGAGAAGTGAAAGAACTCAATCTGACAATCGCAAACTAGACGTCCAACCATGAAATGCATTGCTTGATCCACATTTGAAGGAATAGATATAAATACCCAAGTATCTAATTGCAGCAAATTTCGTCTCATATGCAACTGAGACCGACTTCCAATGGTTTCCCTTATTTTTTTTGAGCTTTTCATTCAAGGCCGACTGTGAAAGAAGAAACCCCGAAGAAGAAACCGAAGGCGATCGAAATCTTCGACAAAGCGCTGGATACATTCTGCGACTGGCACGACATGCACGGTTTGTACTTCCTGAGGAACAGGAAGAACCTGGGCGCCACCAAATGGCTCATCTGGGTGGTGGTCGAGTGCAGCTTCATCTCGTGGGCCCTGTACCTGTGCTACTCGCCCTTCATGAATCTGATCAACGGGAAGCACACGGTGTCGATAGATATGGATGGCGCTCTGTTGAAGAGGAGGCTCCTGCCGGACATCACCATTTGCCCGACGAATCCCATAAGGAAGGATGCCGCTCAAGGTATGGGATGTTTCTTCCTGGCGATATGGGAACTCGAGTGCTGAAGTTTTAGCACGGTTGAAGATCTCTGATTGTTGAAGTTGAAGATTGCGACGAAGTCAGGAGTTTGTTCTAAAATTTTCGCCAAAATCATTGATGAAGTAGGGTAAAAGACCCAGTGATGGACCGGTCCCCAGTGATGGGCCACAGCACATAAAAATTCCAATAGCTAAGCTTCCATAGCTCGCCTACCCCTGTTGTGGCATAGGCTAGCAGCATTCAAGCACACACACACTTCAGAGGTGGTTATGGAACAAATACTTAGTTTTTGGAATTTTCCTGCGACGTGGCCCATCACTGAGTACCCGCCCTTAACAGGTCCATCACTGGGTCTTTTACCCTAGGTTTTTCTAGTTCTGTTCTGAAAAACCTCCTACGTCGTGCGATGAACTTTGGCCTGGATGAAGTCTAAGGTGGACAAAATTATTTGGCTTGAATTGCTCCTTGAAAAAACCACAAGAAAGGTGAAAAATAAAACAAAAACTGCGCAAGCAGGTTAAGTCGCCATAGGATAAGACGGAAAAATAAGCAAACGAGCAAAGAAACGAGACTTCTGGGCATATACGTCGCCTGTGAGGACCTTCTCCAGGCAGAGGAGAGATCCGTTCAAAGCTTCAAATGTGAAATTGGTACCCTTTCAAAGGTACCAATATGCGCGAGACATCGAAAGCGAGAGCATCAACCTAGTAGGAACAATTCCTCAAACTTTCAAAACGTTCTTCAAAGGCCATTTCGGTATAGAGTGTGGAAGAAAAATTTGTCGGGAGGTCCAGTCACATCTTCAAAAGTGTTCTCAGCTTGGTAGCGACGACTGTTATCTTCTAGGACGTTTCATTTCCTCCTCTCCCAAGTGTCTCGCTTTCAGATATTTGACAGAATGTGTTAGGGGATGATTTAGGTTCTCGCAGGCTGCGTCTCTGCCCGAAATTCTTGCTTCCTTCTTCGTGGGGATGTCAGAAACTCTGTTCTCGTATTCCCTCTTTCGTGCCTCATCTTAAGTGCGACTCGACTCTCCAGATCCTCATCGAACCACGAATGTCCCAATTCTCACCATGCGTGTGCCTCCACCTTTGAGGACAGCAAATGCACTCGTGCAGCTATCATGCGCATATCAATCAATGAGCAATCAATGCGGAAATTTGCACCAGAAAATAAACGTAGCATGAAATTCTATTTTGCCGGTTCAAAATTTCCCATAAAACACGGACCGTCTCGTTCTCTGCCTCATCCGATACCTTGACTTCGCAGAATTGGGAGTGGATATAGAGATATTGACATACGCGATGGGTGCCGTGAACCGAGGCGACGCCTTGTCCCAGAAAATCCGAATCGACGAAGTTCGCCGAGATCGGTTGGAAGCGGAACTCAACGACATTCTCGAACGCAACCAGACCACGATACCGCACTTTCTCTTTGCAGCATCGCTCAGGTACAGTGCCAGGATGCTGGTGGTTCCCCTGCAGGTGCATGCAGCTGACATCATCAGGTCTCCTTCAATAGCGTTTTTAAAACGAGATTGGATGGAGTCTGGGATGAAGAGTAAGTTTCTCTGTGTGTTTTATCGATCGAGAATCGTGTCATTCAGGTGCGAAGACATGATACTATCGTGCGAGCTGGGAGGAGAGTCGCGAATCCTTGAAGCGGAACAGTGCTGTGTGGAGATCTTCAAATCTCGACCGTTGACCTCGATGGGCCCCTGCATTTCCACCCATGGATACACCCGCTATCAGAACTACCCTGGGGCTTCCATGGGACTCAGCGTCGTGCTCCGGGTCTTCAGCTCTTCCTGTACGTTCAAACTCTGGTGAACTTTCTACGACGTATGGGTCATGCGTTTGGCAGTCATGCGGAAGGGCAACGTTTTCCACGTTAACCTTTGGGCAAATGGGAATTATTCTGGAATGAGTATTATTCTACAATGAGAATTATATCTCATTCCCATTCCCGAAGTTTAACACACCTGTACGGGCGCAGGGTAAGCGACATCGGGTTACTAGGGGGATTACTATTATATACTGGGAGGACACTATTATACTGGGAGGACACTATTATACTGGGAGGACACTATTATACTGGGAGGACACTATTATACTGGGATACTATTATATATTATATATATACTGGGGGGACATGGGATTACTAGGCAGTGCCTTCCGCAAATATTAAAGAAAATTACTAAACCGAATGTTGATTTCTGCTGGAATTTCTACGTAGCATGAGAGCCTGCCAGGTATCTAGACTCGCCCGTCCTCCCCTCCCCAAAAAAGAAAGACATTTCGGAAGTAGGATTCGAACCCACGCCCTCAGAGAGTAGTGAATTCAGCAGTGTCCTCGCTGTTAGACAGTGCCTGAATCTATCGCCTTGGACCACTCGGCCAACCTGACACATTCTGTCATACACACTTAATGTGTACACTGCCGGCCTACTTCTAGTTCAAGTCTAGTTAGACGAGCGTACTTTCAGACACACTGCACTGCAGTCTTTTCGGCAGTCAGACGAAGCAATTGAGAACCGAGAATAGCGATAGCAAGTGACGGTGCACAGGTGATGGAATCGTTTGGAAACCTTTGCGATGAGGGGCGGACTTCTGACCGCTGTCCTCTCCTTTCTGGTTTCTCAGCGACTTATGACCGGCATTCATGGAGTTTCAACTTCCCACAGACGTCGCACCTTTTCTCGGTCAAGAGCTGGCCGTGGTGCCCCATAGAACTTATTTTTTTTCCCCGAGATTTTTCTCCTGCATGTGCAAACATATGCCGCGATGAATACATATGAATATGATTCACGTTCACACACATTTCATGAACGCATCCGGAACAGAAGTCCTCAATAGGGTAGATTTGAAACAACGCGGGCCCTAAAAATGTCTACAGGTCATCCTTTTGACTTCGGAACACGTAAGCGGAAAGTTTTGCAGAAGCTTTCTTGCCGAGCACAGGAACGGGAGCCTCCATTTATGGCAAATTTTTTGCATATAACGGGCAGCAGAACAATATGGCAGAAGGGTTTTTAAGACCTCAAGATCTTATTCACCAGTGGGGTATTATGGCCGATCTGCCATATTACCAGCCTCTACTCTACAGTATTTAGACTGCCATCAATTGAAGGCTGTCTTAAATTAGTACGTATTCAGTAGTTAGTGCACTGCACAAACTGCCTCGAAACGTGAAACGTTTTAGTGTGTCACACACACGTTTTAGTGTGTGAAACGTTTCAGTGTGTTTTAGTGTGTCCATGTGTCACACTTTGGTTGTCCGACAATAACTAAAAAAATATCGGTCTGATCAATGCGAAAATTGGTAAGCGGGTAGATATGAACAATATACAGGCTGAGTTCGTTTTGTGATGAATTTGCACCACAATTGGCATGTTTATTGCAAATTTTGGATTTGAAATTTGCTAACGGAGGGGAAGCCACGAGTACCTATGAGCCCTTCAGGATGCAGATCGCAATGCGCATGCGCGTACGACCCAGGCTTTGAGCGCGGCGCCGTGTCAGCAAACAAAGCTGTCAGTTCCCTACCAACCTTCGCGGCTGATGGATCCAACCACGTACAGCCCTCCATCCTCCCATCATCGTTTCAAGGGCACCGTTTGTCTATTTTTACCAAATATAATTGAGAAATGAGGTTTTTGATGGTCGAATACAGGAAAGAGATATCATTTTGTTCAATTAGGGGACAAAATGAGGGTTTCCTTAACTGAAAGGAAGCCCACTACTGGATTGGGCTTGCCCAACTTGTTTTAAAGCAGCGGACGACATCGGTCTTGCTGAAGAACGAGGACACGCTTCGGAGAGTAATGGACTCATTGCATCGCATTGGTTTCAACCTGATTCAACTGCTTATGATACACCGTTAATTGCTATCACCCATTTTCGCTTCTCAATTGCGTCGTCTACCGGTCGAAAAGATTGCAGATTGTCTGAAAGAACACCCTTCTCGGAATAGAAGTGAGCTTTAAAGTGTGTGTCAGGATGGCCGAGTGGTCTAAGGCGGTAGATTCAAGCGTATGGCTTATCGAGCGAGTGCTGCTGGATGTACTACTCCTCTCTGAGGACGTGGGTTCGAATCCCATTCCTGTTTTTTTCCGGGGGCGGGGAGGAAAAAAATTATTTAGTACCAATAAGCCTTTTTTTTTCAGAGCGGCCCCCATCGCTTGAGTTCCGCTGCTCCAGACTTTCGCCAAATTAACTAGAGAGTACCAGCCCAAGTACAGATCTGGCATTTCACAGGCCCCTGTACCACTGAATTTATTATATATATTCACTGTATCCTAACCATCTAACCTTGAAAATAGGTAATAGGTTTGGCGTAGGTCTATATGAAAAGGCCGGAAAACTAGACATGTTCTCGATGGTCCGCGTCGCGTGGAGACGGGAGGACAGCATGAAGTGTAAGATGCCATATACGGCACTTCACGCGTGCGCCTCGCAACCCTGTCTACGCAGCCGGGAGCAGCTGCTCTCCTCCTCTGTCTACTATGGATCCGTCAACCGCCAGGGTTGGAAGGGAAGTGGATGTTTTCGCGAAAGACGGGCACCCCGACCCAGACGGAAAGCTGCGCGTTCGCATTGGGTCGTGTTGACCTGTTGCTATGGATACTGCAGACAGACGAAATGAAAAATTTTAAAAAATTTGACAAACCGACCGCAATATCTGGCATTTCCCCATAGTACCTATGGGAATGCCAGATAACATAAATTAAGATGGAAGAGCCACCAGCTGTAACAGATCCAAGTAAAAGATTATCCTTTAAACCGCTGCACGCCAGATCAGAGAAATCGCGCGACTGTATCTCATTCGGGATTTGTAGCCAGCAATGCACAGGGTCGATGCTAAGCAAGCGCCATCTTCGATAGGGACCAATGAAACGAGGGCTCTCTTATGCCGTTGACAGGGCTGGACAGGAACACTCTGTCAGGCGTGGCCCATGCAGATGGATACAAGGTCATCCTGACAGCCAGCTACGAGTCCCCCTCGCTTGCGCCCCGAATAAGGGCGCATTCCGTCAACCCGGGCAGGAAGACTCTTCTCGGTCTCCAAGTCGTCAGGGTAAGCCATGGGCGAGGGTAAGCCACTGGCGGATCGTCTGCATTGATCTTGGTAATCTGATGGGCAAGGACGCAAAATGGAGGACATGGGTTCAAGCTATTCCGAAGTGGCATTCGCTTATGCTCGCTGATAGTTGTGGGAGAAGCGTTAAGCTAGTGTTTTAAAGCCACCTTGGTGTGCTTTCACCGTGGATAGACGGGTCTGATCGTTACGACGCATTCCCTGGTTTTCAGGAAATTGAATTTCGCTCATTGTCTCACGAGGCACCCGATCCTCCAGGTGGAACATTCGGGAATGAACGTCTACCCGGTGAGGTCGAACGTCTGCGGCGACGTGGACGTGACGATGGCTCCCAACAAATCCGTTCACGACCTCATGGACCACTATCCCTATTCCTGGAACTGTGTGGAGAGGATCTTCCGGGATGCGACCATCAACTCGTCGTGCAAGTGCTACCCTGCCGACATCATATCGTCCGAAGGTTTCCTTCTTTCCTTTTCAGATTCGAACCGTGGGGAGTCCCGACCGATTAAATTTCTTTCTTTCTCTTTCCCGTATGCAGAGCTGATGAACATGACTATACCCGTGTGCAGCCCCGAGACTTATATGTGGTGCATTAGACAAGAAGTGGCGAGTGACCAGTTTGCGGATCTCGTATACGAAAGAGCGGGTGAGCTTTTCTCTGTCGGAACCCTCTCTTTGACACGTAACTGAGATATATTACGTGATCATTGCCTGGACACTATAACTTAAACCTAGGTTTAAGTTATAGTGATAGGTCCAGATCGATATACGTGTGTATATGTGTGATTTCTTGTGGACAATTACCGTGCCATCGCTCTTTCCCTACAGAGAAGGAATGCAAACCTCTATGCACAGAAAGCTCCTATGCGGCTATGGTCACCAACGACCACTTGAACCCGACCTACGTGGAAAGCCTGACTAAGCAACTCGGATACAACCTCACCCCAAGGTGCAATTTTTTGCTATCAAACCCTGTGCCAGAATGAGAAATGCCAAAATCAAGAAAATGTTGACTCATTCAGTGAAGATGTGGCGATGATCGGAGTCCACTACAGCATGTTGTCAGAACGCGTCATCTCCTACTCGGCTTACGCCATCATCGACCTCATCAGTGAGTCGACCGAAAGGGGCATGAACTCAACGGCATCTATCTCACCCTTAATGCATTCGACTCTGTAGGTAGCACGGGAGGCATCCTCGGCCTCATCTTCGGAGGCAGCTGCATGACCGTCATCCAGTTCATCACCTTCAACGTTTGGCTGTCCCGCCGCTTCGTGATGTGGGGGAACAAGCGGATGCGAGAGTCCGAGACCAGAAATCTCGTCCTGGCGTCGCTGGACGCAGCGAAGATGTCTGGTGAATCCATCACCCCGTTCTATCCCGAGAATAAGAGGCGGAAGGGACTGACCACCCAGGACTGTTTGTTTGTCTAACTCTGTCAGGGGATTACGATAGAATAAAAGGAGCGGTAAATCGTTTGCAGTTACCTGTGAGACTGTCCTTTTTTTTTAATCGCCTATCTTATATGAATGAGCTGCTCCGACTAATGAAAGCGGAAGGACAGAGGCTTATCAGAGTACTTAATAGGCGAACAACGCAACCAAGCCTCTGTATATGATGCAAAACGAGATAACAAACCGACAAAATTTCATATTAGGTTACCTCTCCCCTTTGCAAGGGTGCGTGTGGTGGTGCGTGTTCTGCCTCGGGTTCCCCTGAAACCTTAAGCTGATCCATTTTGAGCCTGAGCACCCCTGGGATGAGGATTACCCCGAGCATTCCTCCGGCAGGAATGAGCAGAGCTGGGTGAGGATGGTTCCAATCGAAATGCATACGCCGACGTGCACGTGCATCGCGTGCACCCAACCAATCGAGTGCAGTTTTTCAACCATCGCACATCGTACCTTTATTTGAAGGGCTGAAAGGCAAAGTAGTCAAATCTGCAAAAACTTCTTTCCTCGAGCTCCACACGGAATGAGTGAATATTCCAGTGACCGTCTTGTTAAAAGTGAGAAAAAGTGGTATGTATCGATAGAGCACTTCCTCATTTACCTAATTAAAAAAACTATAATTTCTATGAAAGGAACAAGCACAAAAAAAACCAAAACTTTTTTTTGCAGATTTTTTGCACACTTTGCCTTTCAGCCCTTCATTTATCTTGTTGTGTGTCAGTTTTAGCTTGGTTTTAGCTTCGTTTCACATAATTTTTTTCCAGCCCAGTCGGAATTCTCTAATCAATTACTTAAATGTCTCTATCGTATTCCTTAAAGTAAATGTCCTTCGAGATCGTTTCTCACGAAGCTATATAAACCTTTCTGGGTTCCCATGAGAAACAAAAATCCTATAGGATCCTATGAGATATTTGAAACAAAAATCTCATCGAATCCCTCCGGACCGTATGGATTTTTTTTTTTTCAGCCTTGCTCCAGTTCGTAGGGCTGGCGTGAGTGGAATCGCGCCGGAAAATATCGACTCTCGGTCGTCCGACGGCGAAGGCTGGGTCAGATGTGACGCAGGCCAATGGGAACCCAGCAAAAAGCTGGAATCAGCAAGCTCTCCATCCGTGAGCCACTACTAAATTGGTTCCCAGCAGGAATTCCAGGCAGGAAAATGCCTGCTTCTGGTTCCCCAGTGACGTTTTCTTGCTCGGCAATCCACCTGCTGGAAAAGTCCATCACGAACCGAGTAAAAACCAGTGATATTTCCGGCTGGAACATTTTGCGGAAATGGAGAAAAGATATTGTGATTTTTTTTTTCAGGTCCATCGGAAAATATTCATGAATATTCTCTTCTCTCTCTCTCTCTCTCAAGGTTTCCGAATCATGCAAGCCTCACCCAGAGATATCGGGAAAAAAACATCTTCAATTGAAAATTCCCTGAGGAAATGTATCTTAAGATTAGGTTAATTTTTTATTATTTTTAATTTTTTTTTTTTTTTTTTTACTGAACTCAACACCCCAAATGCTACATGAGTGGCGATTTTCATTTCAGGTTTCTACCGTATATAGAGCACGGTTAGAATTAGCGTCAGCCCAGTCTCTCGGTCGCTCACGATATATTGTATGGTAAATGTTAATTTTTACTGTTTCGGAAAATAAGTTTCGAGAATGTTCGGACTGAAAATGGAAGACGCGGAAAACGCTCCTTGCGCAACTCGCACCCCAATGAGCAAGCACCGGCCATTTGGTTTGATTAGGGAAATTTGCGGATACGTTGGCACGCATTCGTGGTCACGCGCACATGCGTGCGTCGAACAATGTCTTCTGACGAAGGAAATCGAATTGTTTCGGGTAATCGAGCGGGTATCCGTCTGTGGTCGTGGGTGGCATCGTAATTGCACATTCCGCATGCACATGCGCAAGTGCAATTGTGGGAGGAAGACGATTCCTGGGTGCCCGACAGGAAAATCGGCTCTTCTCGGCCCAATGCATCGATGTATGTCCTTGTTGAATCTTTCCGATGCAATTTCTGAAGCCGTTGCTTAGTCGGTGTTTTCTTATCGCAGCGTTGAAAAGGAATTTCCTTTCCGGTTGAAACTCGGCAACAAAAAAAAAACCGCCGAATGACTTGCAACGAGTCACTTGCCACGTGACTCCTGAGTCCAGCGATCGTGCTACCAAAGACAATCCAATTGCAATCAGAAGTTGCAGGCCCTTAAAACCCGCCGTCTCCCGTCGGACGCCCTCAAGCAGAGGCGGATTGAATCGCGGCAGAGAGTCTCCCCATCGTCCCGAAAGCAGTTTTTCATGGTTTCGACCCAATTTTGGCTCGGGGCGCGACGCGACGGGGCGTGGGCAAGATTTTCGTTGTTCGTGGATTATTTACCCTTTCAGATCGCTGCAAACGATCTCATTTATTTCTAAAATAATATTTATTATATTTATAATATTTATATTGCGGAATCGCGAGTCGTTTCCTCCGCTTTTGAAATTTCTACCCATGACCTTCGTTAGAGCTGACGAGATGGAAAGATGGAAGATATTTCGCTCGCGTTGACCGCAAACCGAAGAACCGAATAATCATCGGATAATCATCGGATAAGAACCAGATAACTGCAAACCGAATACGAAAAAAAAAAAAACCGATCGCGCCCATTCCCTTTTCTTCCCCTTGCATAATTATGCCTCCTCGCATTCCTCTCTGCGATCATCTGGAGGCTCGAAATCTGACTTGCATCTGGCCCTCTCAATGCAGAATCGCTCCAGCAAATTTGAAGCTCCATTCCTCCGGGCTGCCATACGTCTGTTTTTTTTTTTCCCGGACATGTCCACTTTTTTGGCCTTCCCATTTCCGTCCGGGGCGGATTTTTGAGAAGCACTGAATTCGTCCGGGGTTCATCCTCCGGTCACCAATATTCAGAATATTTTCGGCCTGGCAACATTGGTGTGACGACACGTCCGTAACGTTTCCTGCTTCCTATTCCCTCCATTTGGAGTCTCTCCTAGAGACTTCATGGTCACCATCTCATCTTCGCATTCCGCGGTGAGAGTCGGCAGGTTTCACATCTCGAATTTCCACAGCTTCATCGATGATTCCATCAGTCATTTCGAGTTCTTAGTGAATTTGAAAACAGGTACTTCACATCTGACGCCACGCAGAAACTAGAGCGCCACCTAGTCTCGCACGGTCCATGCTACTCGCCCCTTGCACCCCACGCCCCTTAAGAAAAACGGCGACATGGAAGCAGCAAATCGCCGATACCGCTCAGGTACTTCATCGGCTCTCCTCAAAACCAGCCTTTGACGCGCATGTGCGTCATCGGCAGTGGACGCGTTGTTGCACTCGAAGCTGTTTAAATTCGTGTACGTTGCGGCCAAGAAATACTTGACGAATAAAAGCTCTGTGACTTCCATATTTTTTTTTTAAGTTATTAAAATAATTTCTACTTCATAGTATACTACAATCTGATGAATTTTAAGGAGACAATATTCACATCTGGTTTATAAATGTTTAACTAGTAAAAAAAATAATGCTGCGTAATTGTCCGCCTCCTTCTCGTGTCACTGTGTTTGTTGCCCATCATGTCTATAAACTTAATTATAAACTATAATTATATAATAATAAACTATAATTTTGGCAATTTCAAGGTCGATGCGTCGCTTTAATTCTTTACAGGACCCTGGTCTGTTCTTGTAGATGCGTGACTTTAAAGTGCCCCGTGGAAAAAAAAATTGGGGGCTGTAAAGTCAGGGCTTCTGGCCGGCCATAAAAATCTGCAAATATTGAATCGAGACGGTTCAGAAACAATTTCTTTCATCGACTCCTTTATTTATCTCCCCATCCCGTTGGAACAAAAATTTTCATTTAAATCCCACCTCCTAATGCTTTGGGGAAAACAGTTTGTTTTTAAGTTTGTGCGATACACCAGGCGATGAATGAACTTCTCATCCCAAAAAACTCAAAAAGATTTCAACTTTCTGCTAGCGCACCAAAAATAAGTGAAGTACTTCAACAGCTCAAAAAATGTCGACTCTATCTCGGACATGTTAAAGATATCAGATTTTTTCGTTGCTATTCACAATGCAAATGTGGAGAGAGTGTTTTTCGTTGATGTAAAGACAGTGGACGCGGGAAAGGAAACAACTTAGCTGTTGAGTCTGTGATCCTTCCTGTGCAATGCAACTTTTAGCCCGTGTCTTGTAAAGAGATTTCCAGGGTTGTTTGCTGAATCAACATCGAAAGACGTGTTCAGCAGAAAAGTATGCATGGGCGCCGAAAAATTAGTATGAGGCCTGTGTGACAAGCATTTGCTTGTATTTTTTTTATAAACTGCAGAGGAACTTCTCGTGTCTTGTTCATTTTATCCATGGAACAGGAAACGTTGATTATCCAATAACAAATACATATTCCCTGGATAAATGAAAGTGTCCTCTTTTTGGCTCTCCAAAATCTGGTAACCCGAGATAACCCCTGCCGAAAGAAAGATATTGACCGCAGGAAATGGCCTTTTTGTCGTCGGCAATGCACCATTTCGCTATGAAAATGAGATTAGCTGTCTTTCATTCAGACTCAGCGCGTGGGCTCCAATCCCGTCCCCAACGGTAGCCGGAAATCGAGCTGGCTGGAGTTATGCAGAATCCATGACTGTTTCTGCTTTGTCTGGATTCTCCTTCATTTTATTTTTACGCCGATTTCGTGGGGAGATGCGATTGAATCGATGTATACAGGCCAATGTGGGGAGATTCAAGATAGTTAGTGATATCGAGAGGCGATTTCGCCCATTTCGATATCACGTGTCGAGGTTGAGCGTTC